ACCTGCAGATTTGGATACGTGTCTGTGTCTATTTACTGCTGTTCATCACTCTTGGGGTACATTCAAGTAAAATTGACGTCAACCCAGTGACAGATGACATCTCTAGGCTCTCTGTTTTGGTAAGGACAAGACATTGTATGTGTAGTGTGCAATAGATACTGTATATTTAATCTGTAAATTACAAAATAGATGTACACGCATGTTTCATGAGGCACTGTCTTTATATTTGTTCTATTTGCACAGCCACAAAAGCAGGAAGCATCATTCATATTTAGCTTGTTTATAACATTTTTCAAGTCAGATGATTGCCAGTCAGAACTGTGTGGCTGTGTTACACCATTTTCAACCATATCAGGTCAGAATTATTGCTGCCTCTGCTGAACCAATTCTGGCTCTAGCGGAACATACAACATTATGATTCATGCTCTTTTCAAAAGCCTGGCAGCACCTGCTTTATTGCCAATGTTAATATGTGCAAAGGTCTAAAAGTTAGGGAGCTCAAAACACATCTCCTCATCAAACAGAGAAATCTGTAAATTGAACCTGGATTATATTCAGATAATGCTGGACGTGATTTAATCAATTTTTTGTTTTATTTTCTTATATTTTTCAGAGACAAAATATTCCTAAAGATTACAAAATTCCTGTACATTTTGTTCCTAAAGAAGAGGTAAGATGCCAGACCATTATATTATCCTTTATATGACTTCTGACCAGCAATTAGAGCACTACATATTTAAATATCAAACAGTCACTGTCGCTGCTTATCTTTTACCTTGTCTCTGTCCTTTGTCTTCTAGGGTGGGATGTGTTGGGTAAAATTAAACGTCTTCTACTTGGAGGAGAGTTTAAAAGATTTAGCGCATAAGTTTGGAAACATTTCATCCAACAGAAAAGATATTAGCATATTCATCCAAATGCTCCAAGAACTGCGGCTCAACATGGGGTCTCTGGTAAGTTGTGGTACACCTTCAAAATGTGTTATAAATATACAGACTTTGGCTGAGTGTGACTGACAAACAATGATGCCTGTATTACATTTCACACATGGTTAACTTGCAGGCCTTATTGCAGGATGAGTGTCATGTATCTAACTAGCTAATCACAAACTTTGCACAACTGAATGAACTTGAACTAATCCCTTGAAATGAATTGCCTGAAATGTTCAAACTGTGTTTTTGTGTTTGTAGGAGCCGATCATGTACGATTTTGAGTGCCACTACAGGGAAGAGAGGTGGCAGACAGCGCGATACTTTGACTTTGTCAAAGACTTCCTTATAGCTGCACAGAATAGAGAAGATTCAGATGACTGTAATCCTCCTCCCTGTCCCACGACACCATACACAGTAACTTCAGAAGAATATTTAGAAGGTAATTTCATTATAGGTGATATGTTGCCTGTTTGTTGTGCCCTTTACCATGGTTAATATTTCAACTTTGAATGTCAGTGACTTGCTTTGGACACAAACATTAGTACACTGGTACACTGTGTAACGAGACATCCAAGAACCACATTAGGTTTATGTAACTCTAATTTAGCATCCTGATATGGAATCTGTGTTTATGATACACTTTGTTCAGTGAATGAATAAGAAAAGATGCTATTTCTACCGTTTGTTCGATTTGTTCGTTGTGGCGTGGTCGACTCAACATTTCAATTTGCATCTGCAGGGTGTCGATAAGTAGAATTAAGCCTGTTGTTGTGACAGTGTATATTTGTGAATTTTTCACACAACTAATAATCTCACTGCTTAGAGCATTAACAACCCACACAGACTAGATGTTTGCAAATGTTACTGGAGGTAAGGGAAACTGGTTAGATTACTCACATGCGACAGTGGCTTAGTGATAATATCAGTGAGTTTCAGATTAAGAGTTCAGATCAGTTTGGAATGAATGGAATTCTGTTGATAAGATCACCTTAACTGCTTCCGTAAAATATGTTAACATGAAGGTCTGCGGAATATTGTCTCTGGTGAGATACACAATTTTGGTCATGTCCAAAATTCGTAAAGATTACCGCAATCAAATTACCCCCAATCGTGCTAGCCTGCATAGCTTGAGGACACCAGTGGGGTAAGTGAGAAAAATAGGTCTTTTTATGATTTGGGTTGACTCTTTAGGTATTTTAAGTACTTTATTTTAGAAAACATTTGAAAACACCACCACCCTCTTTGGGCTATTGTGAGCAGCCCGGGGTCTATTTAGGACAGATCTCTTGTGACCGTTTGAAGAAGCTTTTAAGCCGGGAACCATTATTTCTTCACAAGAACTTTACAAGATAAAATAACTCAAAACCGTCTCAGTGCTTAGACGGCCCATGGAGAGATGGCCGAGTCACAGGACTGAGGGAAGATGTCCCCAGGCAGCCCATGTGAAAAGGAAGAAAAGGGCCGAAACCTGACTGTATACGTGTTGATTACAGAGCAATCTTCCAATCTTCCCAAGCGCTTGGCTTTTCTTTGCCAGAGTGGTCGGATCGGATCAGATCTTTTGTATGTGTGTGAGTATGTGTGTGTGAGTGGTGGGGTAGTGAAAAAGGTGGTAAGGTGACCTCGGGTGACAAAGTTTTCATCATCAGGTGGTAACAGTCCACCCTTTTTCTCCCTCTTCTCAATTTTTTGTTTGTCTTCTCCAGTAAAACCAAACTCACCAATCCTTTTTTTGCTGTTTTCTCTCTCTTTTTTCCGGCAGCATCACCCACGTCCAGCAGCAAAGGCTCAGACTGTACGACAGGCTGCAATCCACGTAAGTTCACAGTTCTTGTAATTACTGAGAAGGTCAGGTCTGGTGTGTCAAAGCGGGAACTTTTGATGGCTGCACTGATTTGCCACATTCTAGAGCAAGTCAGCCCATTCCATGGAGCGGCTGTCACTTGATTAATTCCACACTTCGAGACAAATTCATCATCACATCTCATGTAGCCTGCTGCAGAAAGGCTTTTCTCCACTCATACCATTGAGGCCCGTGTTTCTCTGGTTGGATGTCCCATTCATGTCGTTCTGACTTACAGAATAGCAGTTTTGAAACTATAATACTACACACACACACACACACACACTGGAATGTTGCAAAAGTCCCTTGTTATAATTGTTCTTTAACCTCTTTTAATAAATAGAAAGTACAATCTGATGCAAACCATGACCTTTTTGTGATTTTTCAACCCCTAAAAAATATCTTTTAGTTTTTTCAATAATGTGGTACTTTACTCAAACTTCACTCAGAAATGTGTTTTGCTCTGTGGGTGCATGAAACTTTCCTTTGCTGAATGATGTGCTGTATGTGCAGAGTTTGACACTAAATTCCACATTGGGAAAAATTAAACTAGAAAAACCACATCAAACACAAAATTATTATTCAAAACAGAGTGTTTTTTTATATGTCTGAAAACATGTCTGGATGAGATGTTTAAGGCAAAATCTGGAATGCATTGTATTAAAAGTCAGTGGTTGACTTGAGGGTGGCTTAATGTTTTATTGTTTCTTTGCCACTTGTGAGTAATTGAATTGATTGTGCAACATTAGAAAGCAGGATGTTGACAATAATCATGCCATACTAAGTGATAAAATAAACAACTAGCTGGTATTTGCAGCTGTTTTGCAAATGTTCTTTTATGCCAACTATCAGCATTTGATTTGATCGCACTAAGTAACAGTGAATCAATGTTCAAATACAGACATTAAATGTAAGCAAAATAATGAAATCAATTTCAATGTTAAAAGCAAAACCAGTCATATTTGAGTGAAACCCTCTGTTTTTTCTGTTCAGTTCCAAATCAAGGAGAGAGATTGCTGCCTGAGGTGGTGGAGCGAAGCCTTCTCTCCTTACTCTTCATCCCACTCTTAGGCCTTGTATTCCTGATCGTGTGGAAGGTGAGCTGACCTCTGACCCATGGCACTTACCTGTGTAACTGCCCAAGATGCTCCAGAGATATAATTGTTTGTTATAAGGAGACGGCTCTTTGATCAATGGAATTTATGACTACCAGACAGAGACAGATTTCTGCAGATACCGTGCGGATCTGAGCCATAGGGATTGCGAGTGGGAATGAGTGCTTTGATTCTAACAGGGATTTCCTTCCCCTGAAAAACAGGTCCGATCACGGAGGAACGAGCTGGCTCCTCAACAGAACCCCGGAGCAGGGGCAATCTTCACAGGAACAGAATGGACTGCACCTCCACTGGATGAAATATCAGAAAAGTGAGCTGTTTTCCTTTGCCTTTCCCTTGCCAGAGCACATTTCAACAGGAAACTACTGCCCTTCCTTTTATCCACTGCCTGCTCACAGAGGGCAAGGCTTGGATTGTTTTCAGCGGTCATCAGTTTGGGCTTGAGGCTTAATTAAATCTTAGCTTAGCCTGCGTCACATAGCAGGAGGTGAAGGTTTTGAAATGTGTGGTCATTTAGTCTGCAGCAATGTTGCCTAACAACAAACCTTTTCCATGTGTTGTAACACGCTGCTCACACAGTCGAACGACAGAGTTGATTTATTTACAGGAGGATACCCTCCTGCTGAAACAGCACAGAATCATTTGGTCTCTGCCTTTAACTTTTACTTCCCATGTACCAATTCACAAACAAAGCAATGAAGCATAGAAATCCAATTAGTTCTTGACAGCTTCTGACCATGGGAAATCATTGACCATTCACACATCAGCCATCTTCACTGAGTAGGATTGATCTCTTCTGACTTCTGGATGGTGTGTTTGTACAGGAACACAATCACTAGAACCTAAAATGGTTTCATGTGTAGCCACCACCTGACTGGGCTTGAATGCAACTCTTAACTCTTGTCATGTGAAAGCTTTTCCAGCCTCCCTAAAAGAGCCATTTCTGTCTTCAGATGACTTGTTGCTGCTGCTGTTGTTGTCGTTGTCTCAGGGTAGCGGCTAATGCTTTTTCTCTGCTCAATTACAGAAACAAGTTGAACGTCATTGAAACTGTGTAATGCTTTTACCCCTCGATGTTCTTCAGCATATTTGGTGAGCTTTTCACGGAAAAATCAAGACAATTGTTTGAATCCTACCTGTCACCGTGCTCTAAACCCTCTGTCCCCACTCTTTCTCTTCCACAGGGCACTACTCGTTCCTCCTGTTGGTGTCCAGAGGTGATGAAAAACAAACTCGAGGCTTAATTCCATAGTGAGACCTCGGAGGTGAAAAGCCTGTTTTTGACTGCTCTCCAGATTGACAATGGCAATGATCGATTGCCATGACCAAGATTTCTCTGGTTAAATCATGCCTGCTACCATATGGATAAGCTTGCCTTTCTTTGTAAGACTGCATTAACCAACCGCATGCTTTTGTCAGAGAGAAACCCCTGTATCATGTCTCCACTGGATTCTCTGGCTCCTGCAAATCGTCCATCAGACCCTGCTGCATCATGAATTCTTTTAGGGAAACACAACGGATGACTATTGAAATGAATAATGAAAATCAGTTGTTAGGTTGGAGTGTGAACAGGGCACGCTGGCTGTGACCTTTCCCATAGGGCCGTCCTGCTGCTGACTACCTGACACTGACCAAAGTGAGCAGGACACAAATATCTGTTTCTGTATGTAGTAGTATTTCTATCATGTTCTTACATTGTACCATGTCCATTCTTTGGTTTTGTGCCTTGTTTGATTAGTGAGATTGACTGTGTAAATGTCAAAAAGCCTGTCTATGTTTCTGTGTGGTAGCAGACAGTGGTGAGATCATTACATGGCAGATTAGAATAATCTCACCACGGTAACCCAGCAGATGGTCTCCAATCTGTCTCTCTTTCTCTTTCTCCTAAATGAACTCAAGACCATGACAGTTTAGTTTGGCTTGACCTGTGCCCAGACGATCCTGGAAACAGTTTGCAGTGGTTGGGACATTTCTGGCCACACATTACATTTTAGCAATTGTAACCTTTAGGAAACGGTTCAGCACGTAACTCTGCTTGTTTCATGTGTATATGGGACTATATGTTGGGACTTTTTGTTAAAGCAGATGAGACTATATTGTGCTAAATTGAATCTGTGTTTAAAAAAAAAAAGTATACCACATTGGTGTTCATATAGTTCAGAGCAACAGTACCTTTCAGCATCAATAGCTGGAATTCTTTGGTGTGGTAAAGTATTGTGTGTCATGTTGAACTGAAAGATAATCTTATTCATTCCAAAATCCGTCTTTGAAGAACACTCTATGAACGTCGACATATTACTGGTGCCATATTCTCTATGGCAGTTTAGAGCTGAGTCTGTGTTAGCGAATGTATACCACATTGGTGTTCATGTAGTCCACAGCAGCAGTACTTTTAGCAGGAATATCTGAAATTAGTGTTGTAGTGAAGTACTGGAAAAAATGTAAGCTTTTAGACGATGACGTCCACGCAAACATTTATTTTTGAACAATATTGGAACATACTATCTATGACAGTTTAGACCTGAGACTTTCCATTCAGTCAGCGTTAGGTTTTGCTTCTCTGCATGAAGTCTATTACATGCAGTGTCCACTACTCTGAGACCCAGGCTAGTCTCGCCACAAACAAACTAACATACAAGGTATACTATGTCAAACGTTGTCTTTCATACATAGTCTATGAATTTCATGAGCTGCAACAGGTCTAAGCTGTGAACAAAAAATGTATGTATAAATATATATATATACATATATATATATATATATATATATATATATATTTATATATATTTATACATATAACATGGTGTCCCATTTTCCTGTCTTTGCAAGAGCCACAAACTAAATGTCTGATGCATGGACAGCAAATATCAAGCAATTTTATGCATTAGTCAAGAGAATGAGTGCCCTTAAATACTGTTCCTATGTGGGTTGTTGCGTGGTCTGAGAGTGAGCAGGGCTGCATTCTGAACAGTGCTTTCGGGCCAGAGTGATCCAATCCGTCCCCCTCCAGTGGGTGAATCAAATGGCTCTAGACAGGAAATAAGTCTGGGTGCCAAAAAGCAAATGTTATTACTGCCCAGTTGGTATTCTGGGGGAAAACTCTACTGTATTCTGTATTTTTGTATAAATGTAAACAAACATATATAAGATATGAATAAAGAACACGTATCCAACTGTTATTTATTGGTTTGTTGTTATTGAGGAATTCTAATCACGCTTCTTTTCTTTTTAAACCCAGGCCTATCAGTGGGGAAACAAACTCAGGCCACACTCACAATGCAAACATTTTCCTTGGGCAAAACAGCTGAGCTGCAGACATTAAGGGTGGATGTAATCACCCACATGCCTCTGGGAAAGAATCTACAAGTTTCATACTGCGTGTTTATTGCTATTTGAAGGCAAAATTAGCTCAGCTGGAGTGTGTCAGTGAAAAGTAAAAACACTTGTTTTTGGCTTCTCGCTTCTTAATAGTTTAATAGATTCAAGGCTTTTGAACAACCATTTTGTCCACTTAGGCTGCTGTTGTTTCAAGGTAGACTCATGTTCTCAAACAGTGAAAGTTTACTTATGATAGATCGTTAGTGAGTTATTCAGATTCAGACAACTTTATTCATCCCAAAGAGGGCAATTTATTTTCAGGTTACCCCGTTCACAATTGCACAAACAACATCCAATATAATACGTGTCAAAAAGCACAGGTCAACAAACAAACAGAGGTCTGTGATAGAAATGAAGATAAAGATTGAGGAGGTAAAAGAAATAGTAATAAAAGACAATAATTAGATACGTGATAGAGTTGTGATTAAGAGAACACATCAAATGCAAAGAACCAGGTGCGGAGTGTCTGTTGTGTCTGTAGGACAGAGTTCAGTAAAGAGCTGCTGTCGCTATGTTTGCATACACTGACAGAGGTCGAGGGGTACGAAGACTATATTCCCACATGGACGGTTATACAGCCATGTTTAGGATTAGCATAACCATCTGCGTTAATTGATTACTGATTGAATGCACAAACTGGTGACCATGTCAAATGTCAAACACATGCATGTGCATGTTGGGTCTGACCAGATGCTAAAATACAGAGACTCCTTCAGTCGAGACTTGTTTATAGAGGACGAAGCTCATGAACAGAAAAAATACTTTCTGTAGTTTTCTCTGCACCAGTAAATATGGAATCGTCACAGGATTAACGTACAACAATGTGGAAAATCTCATAATACATTTTAAATGTTTATTTTACACCTACACAGATGATCAAGTTAAAATGTAGAAATTAATTTGTCCAGTTTGTGCTGAGATGCGCTGCTCTGTTCTTATAACATAATTTACCGCCACAACTCAGATTTGTCTCGGACCATCTACGCCATCGGAAATATTAGGGAGGTAAGCTAAAACACTAAAACACACAAGACTGTTTTCAAATCAGTCTATGAAAATGTCAGCAAGCGTAAACCTGTCTTAATCCTCACAATAATTCAGATATCTATTACAAGAATAAGGAGTAGATTCACCAGAGGAAAAAGGCTTAGACATGCTTCTCTCCTCTTGTCTCTCCGACATTTTTCTTCCTGTCAATGCATGATGGTACATATTGCTCGGCCAGTGGCCATCAGTTGTACACTAATATTATTGATGCCCTGTGGGATACAATGGGTCCACTATATAGAGTAATACAAATGTTAGGCTAATGTTAGGATCAGGGAAACCAGATCTATCCAGGGTAGTTTGTTGAACTTCCTTTGTAGAACAGGCCCCGCAGCTCGTTCAGCACAGTGTTTGAAAATTTGGAGACCAGACAGTCTGTGAAGTTTTGTATCGAGAATGACCTCAGAGAATTCAGATGGATTGAGTCAGATTAATTAGAGTAGAGGACTCTGCAGTGAGCAGAATGAAGTTAAGAATGCCTAGCAACATTGTTCTCGTTTGTATTGATTATACATTTCCACATTTTCTGCTGTTGCTTCTATTGATTTATGCAGCTTAATATTGCTTGATAGAGTCTAAAACACTCGCCATGAGAAGTATCTATTACTTATCCACCTCATTTATAAACATGAAGGTGGGCTTGAAAACAGTGACTTGTCAGCTCAACAGCAGCACACATTACATCCTCCAAAAATAATTACTCAATTAAATCTTTTTTTAAATTTTAATAAAGAATAAAGAATATAACCATCATGAGGGAACAAATGTATTGCAGACTGTCTTTTTAGATTGCATTATTTTTAGAAAATGTAGACATGGTGAAGACAGCCCTGATTACTTTGACTGTTTGAGGCAGACTACACAGAAATGTCATAATGTGGCCGCAATTTCTCTTTAAAAATATGGATTGACATGAAAGAGAATGTCATTCTGGGGTTTATTCAACACACATTTGCAACTGGACACTGTGCGTTCAACATGAGAATTTTCAGGCAGAGAGCACATTCCTCTCTGTGTAGCTTACACCGGTCTACACAATTTCACATGCTGACAAGATGCAGGTGTCATACGTCCTGCCCAATTTGGTTCTGAGCTCAAATCTAAGGCAAAGTGGATGCACCCAGAGAAGAAGCTTCAAAGAATTAACCACCATATCATCCCTATATGGTAAATGAACAAACCATGACTAACCACACACTAAACAAGCTCTAGGTATAAGGATTCAACACATAAGAACCCAATGAGCACCATGATAAAACCCATCATCTCTTGACAATGTACAAACCAAACCTCTTTTTAAAATAACACTCACTTCCACTCCTTTATCTTTTAACCAAATCACAGAAGCGTGATCATATTTGCCTTATTTAAGCTTCCCTTCACTGACTGCCTGTGTATTTTAGAATCAATCTGAAACTATCGCTGTTCAGATGTTTTTGGCACCCAGCTTCTTGGCTGAGCTTCTAAATCTGCCCGTCGCTTGAGTTGGCTGCTGATGGGGCCTTTGCTTTCAGTTTATCTGAGGAAGTCAGACTTGAAACCACTGTCTGTTTTGAAATCATCTGTCAAATGGCACTTTTACTGAATAGCTTTAATTGTTTTTAGATTTCACTCATATGTGCCTTTT